CTAAAACGGTTTGAGTCTGCCAAAATTCAAAATATTTTAATGTTAACCGACAAGCGATAAATTTGGAAGCTGAATTTCAGACACCTAAAACGGTTTGAGTCTGCTAAAATCGCATATTTTAACCGACCTGAGATAAATAGGGTGTCTGAATTTCAGACACCTAAAACGGTTTGAGTCTGCCAAAATTCAAAATATTTTAATGTTAACCGACAAGCGATAAATTTGGAAGCTGAATTTCAGACACCTAAAACGGTTTGAGTCTGCTAAACTCGCATATTTTAACCGACCTGAGATAAACAAGGTATCTGAATTTCAGACACCTAAAACGGTTTGAGTCTGCCAAAATCTTATATATTAACCAACCTGAGATAAATTAAGGTATCGGAATTTCAGACACCTAAACGGTTTGAGTCTGCCAAAATCGTATATTTTAACCGACCTGAGATTAATAAGGTATCTGAATTTCAGACACCTAAACGGTTTGAGTCTGCCAAAATCGTATATTTTAACCGACCTGAGATGAATAAGGTATCTGAATTTCAGACACCTAAAATGGTTTCAGCCTGCCAAAAATTCAAAATCTTATGTTAACCGACAAGCGATAAACTGAGAAGCTAAATTTCAGACGCCATAAACGGCGTGAGTTTGTCACAAATCTGATATAAACAATTAAATGAACCGAGATTAAAGGCTGAATTTCAGTTTGTACTGTCACCGATCGTGTACTGAAATGAAAAGCACTTTTTCAGAGTGTAGCCCAATTTCAGAAAAATATTGGTTTGACTGTTTGTTTAAATCATATGTGCATAATTCATAAATCAAACACATCTAAGCAGAGATGAGATTTTAGAGCCAAATTTTAGTCCGCGATCAACGTTTTATGGGTTTTCAACAGCGGACACCTAAAACGGCTTGATTCTGTCAAAATCTTATTTATCAACCGACAATGCATGCAGCGAAACCGACCAGTGAAAAATTGGGCAGCTGAATTCCAGAACCTAAAGCGACTTGACTGAGTCTGCCAAAATTTAGTTTACCTGCAGACCTTCACATCACAACCAAAATACTAAAGTCAAATGCAAAGAATCATGTATATAGAATTATATAATTAGTTTTTCAAATCACAAAATTTTGCGCAATACGTTTCTTGCTTCTTCTTCATTTGGTGTTAAGCATAAAACATTCCTGCCTTCCTTCATGGCTGCAGCAGCTCCAGCAACTGAAACAGTCATAAAAATAGATCAATTTAGTTGGAATGTTATACTGCATAACATTTAATTATGTTTTTTACGGGAAACTACTTTAAAATATACTGCGCGAATAGGTGAATAAACTGAAGGAAGAAAGCTAGTGATCCAATGATAGTGTAAAGTTGCATAGTGGGACACAGCTAATCAACCTTATCATTTTAGCTCCCATATTGAAAGGTTTCAATTTTGCATTAACAAGAAAGTTTCTCGAAATTTTTGTCAACTTGACGAAAAGCCTAATTAACATTTAAATAAGACAAAAGAAATTGTCTAAATAAAGTTCAAAGCGCTGAGATAGTTGAATAAACCACTACGAACAGAAATGACCTTCACCACTGACTAGATGATTGACTATGTCCTTTGAATCCGCCAGCCATCAGAACAGTGTAAAGTGAAACTTCACAGTAAAAGCGGTTAAGGTGGCTCCCTACAGTTTTGATTGTGTAATGCGCAATTGTGTTCGAAAGACCATTATTTTATCATCTTACAAAGTATGATCACGAAACTTGGCCACATAACTGCTATGATATCGCAAATTACGAAATATATAAAATTTCGTAAAATATCCTCGTTGCCATGGTAACATAACGATTTTAAAAAGGGCCAATTTGCAGATTCTGAGATATTTTTTTGAAATTTTCTTCGGTAAAACTTTCTACTTTTTTCCATACAGTAATCTTATCCATAATTCTTTCTAATGTTAGCATTTAAAAAAAATCGTACGAGCACTTTTTTTTAAATCCTCAAAAAATCCTGTTTTTTAATTTAAAAAAATTCGGCTCGTACGATTTTCTTAAAACTTGCACATTTTACGCATTTTACGATTACAGAAAACTGTGTAAAGTTTGAAAAGAATTTACCGAAGGAAAAACGAAAAAAATACATTTATTTTTATGTTTATGACGTCACAAAAATCAGGATTTTAATTTCCTCGCGCGACCAGTCAACGTCCCGCGAAGGCCCGCGCGTGTTTATCAAAAGTTCACAATGATAAATTTTAAAAGATCCGCCCTGCGTGCAACATCAGCCACGCGTGTTGCGTGTACTAATTCGCGCGCGACAAAATTACCGCGATACAACCATAGAACTGTAGGGAGCCACCTTAAGTTAAATTATTTTTTTGTATCAACGATTAACAACACGATTGCACCTGTTGTTTCCAGATAATTCATTGTAACTAGTCGGCAGCAACAATGTGAACAGTGCATAAAAAAATTATTAGTATTTCATCAGTACTGGTATAATTGCATACCTTGTGGCGTATTCACGTCAAGAATCCAATCGCCTGGTCTACTGAACATTTCAACTACAGAATGCCACACCTCCAACTCCTTGTGCTCTTGACTTACAATAATAAAATTCTCAGTGCAGGCAGTGAAATTAAAATGATCTTGCAGCAGCCGTTGCCCAGGCGCCGCATGGTAGAGGAGAAACCCCTCTACAGCCCGTACCATACCAAGGCTAGGACCTGTAAAATGCAGGAACAATGCGTAAGTTAATTTTGTTGTATGCATTGCAAAATACGGTTACAGTTTACAGTAGGTATGCTTTTATGCGTGTAAATTTGACGTATTTTCGAGTGTACGTGAATTTGAACTTCTAATTTTACAGTTGAATTGCAGAAATAACAAACGCAGACAAGTTTAACTAAATTTTGTTACAAAAATAAAATATAAAAACATTGCATCGCAAGAACCTCTAGAAAATACCAGGATGCTGTTTTAACAAAATAATCTATGGTGAGCAGAAACCCAAAAGGTGGATTAAACAAAATGATTAAGGACCTTACGATTGACAATTACACCAGACATGCGGCTAGCTGCAATCGACAAACTATTGAAGATAGTATTTTGGGGCCAATTATTAGATGATAGAGCTTCGAGCAGTTTGCGAATTAAAATTGAGGCATAAATTCTCTACGACAGACACGGTTATCCCTTTGCCGTAAACGTGAACATTAAAATCTTACTATTTTAAACATGAATACATTGCCCGTTAATATGCTAATATATACCTGATGGTTTAACTCCTTTAACACATGCGAAACCAAGTTCGCAGATTCCACGGTGTTCCTCGATCCATTTTTTTATTTCCATTAATTGATGGATATCCCCCATTATTGCTACGTTGAAAATGTGGCACACACCAAAATTTAAACGGTCCACTAGGTCCAGCAAACCTGCAGCAAATGTTGTCACTTCATTTTCCTAAAAAAATCATTTTTAAAAAGAAAGTATTGTTCAGTATACACCTTTTTCACAATTATCACAGTTGTACATATACAGTACTATTGGTGCATTAGGTCAATGTTACATCACTATACTGTACCTGATGTGGTGAAAGCTTACATAAGGCTAATGAAAATCCTTTTTCTTGCCCGTATGACCCCTTGCTGCAGTTCCAGTGGGTCAACACACATGTGGACAACGCCCCTTGTTCCCTGGTCCATCAGAAATACATTGGGTGATACAACTAGTGGCTGGTCTGATTCCTCGATGGTCAGACTCTTTTGCAGATATTCCAAGTATTGTCTGAAAATAAGGTTGGTTTCATCTTTTCCCTAGTAAATAGAAACACAGCTCTACTGAATGTGCGAAACACAGAAAAATGTTTGCAGACTAAAATGGTCATCAAATAGGTAGCAGAATTGAAAATTGAAATCTTCCAAGGAACATGTAGCAGGGCTGATTTAATGTTTATTTTCAAGCTACTAGTAGTTTGAAATGTTTCTTGTAGTTTGAATTTATTAATTTAGAAGTCAGTTCAAATACTCAACCTCAGCATAGAGAGAAGAGCGGATATTTTCCATTCTACAAACCTGGATCAAAATATCGAACTGCCTGATATAATACATATACTGTATACTTACTGTAAATTTCCTTAACTGGTCAACGCTGACTTTCTCTCCCAATTTTGCACTAAGCAATTCCCATTTACATCCAAGAAATGAAGAAATCACTTTTTGGACAGGCTTCAGTACTTTGCACTCCTTGCACACTAATTTCAGTTCATCCAGACTGTTACTTTGGTCAGCAACCTAAAAAAAACAACAGATTTAGAATGATGATTGGATTTAATTTAAAGGGCACAATTATATTTTAATAAACTAAGTGGTTAATTAGTAAATAAAATTTTTAACAGATCACAGCGGCAAAAAAATAAGCTAAGGGGCATCTTACGCCTAAAAATGGAAGAAATATCTTTACCTGACCCAACAGAGCAACACGATCTGAAACGTCGAGGCCAAATAAGCATTTGATGTATGATGGCTTGAACCTCGGCTTTTCTTGTAGGTCCTTTGCCATTGCTCGCTGGTCTTTCAGAAGACCTTTTTCATATTTTCGGCACATCTCAAGGAATGACTGATAACCATCTTCTGGGAGAGCAGCAACAATTAAGAAATACATCAGAAAGATTTTTCTTCTAAAAAAAGTACAACATTTAACAAGAATATTAATTACTCAGTGTAAGTGCTTTATTGATCAGCAAGTTAATTTAAAATTATTTCATTAAACAGGTTTAGGTTTAGTACAGATTATAATTACATCTGCTTTCTTTTGATAACCCATTCACTGGTGGCAAGACTTTCACTGGCAAGCAAAATCACCTGGTGTTCACAATATATTACAAATTGAATAAACTGAAAAGTTTACTCACTGTCTTTCCTAATATGTGGGAACATCTGTCTCTCCATTGCTGACTAGGAACTAAATCATTGTTCTCATTTTTTGTACCAATGATCTCCAACTGCCTGTGAGCAACTTCCACCTACAGCAGAATAAAAAAATGTTTGTGATCACAGCTTTTTTAACCCACTGACTGGTAAATCACCCAAATGATTGCTGCTGCAATTAATAATTTGGTAGTTTCTACTGCAATTGCCTGTGGCAGATTACTGCTAATTATTATCGTAAGTAACTCAGACCACTATAACCAATAATTTACCATTGACAATTTTGGTATGTACTTGAGAAAAATTTCTGGTATTTGACAAAGCAAAGTTGAATAAGTTAAGAAGTTGGGTACTCATTACTACTGTGACACTAATGGGTTCCTTAAGTAACTTGTTGACTGACTGTTAAACTATAACAAACAACCACTCCCTCTTAATATTTAACAATATTAGAATTGCCTTTCTACAGAACTTGCCTCATCTTTGAATGTCATTTCATGACGGAAACACCCAGTCTTATTATGCCTTGACGCCAGCCATAAAGCTTCAAAATTTGTTAACCTAACAAATATTCTTGCATATCTTCCCTTATACTCTTCACTATCAGGGTGCTTCTCTAAAAGTTGCTTTGTTGCCAACAAGTTATGCGTACCACCAAGTACCTCATACTGATAGCTGCTGACATCTGATTTTGAAATGTTCTCCTTTCTGTTCAGACCTTTTACCAACAAGTAAAGAGGTTCATATGAGCCATTGGGGTTACTTTCCATATTTTCCTTTAATTGGGCCAAAAATATTTCATCCACTTTCCTGATCATTCTGTCTGCTGGAGGTAGTTCAATATTGCCAACCGGAACATAGAATTGCTCATCTATTCAAAGTTATGAAAAGACATGCATGATATTACTGCCAAATGAAGGTGCACTTATACAACTTGAGTAAGCTAGAATGGTAAAAAGGAAACCATTGGGCAAAAAAAGCTGGTCATATTGAAAGAAGTAATTGTGTAGCAGGGATTTTAATTAAGAAAATGACTTGATAATTTAAGCCTTAATTTAAACTTGATAATTTCTGTAAAAAATTAATTAACATTCATTGTGGTTTAGTGGTTCAACAAAAAATATCATATGTATATATTTAATTTCTACATACCAACTTCGCATTCTTTTGCTCTTGTTTGGTATTGTAATTCTTTGGCCTCTTCATCTTGACACTTTTTCTTGGTTAGGGGAGTACTCAGCTGTTCCACAAGAGATGAAGATCCCCTTTTTAAATTTATAGCTTCATCTTCATTAGTGATTAAAACAGGCTCGGAATCCTTGGATCCACCTTGATTTTGTTGATCTTGACCATCATTAGCGCAATCTTGCTTTTCTAACTTTTCAATGGCTTCATTGCATTTTGCAGCCCATTGTTGCTCATTTTCAGTCGCAACAATTTCGCGGAAAAGCCCATTGCTTGCTGACCAGTCATATTTCCCTGTGGAGAAGAAACAGTGTTCTCTTTTGCCATCTGCCCCTCGAACGAAAATCAACTATAAAATATGAATAAAATAATAATTTTTACATAGAATCAATCAAAATACAGTATTAATATATGTACGGATAGCTGGCATCATTATTTGAAGCATGTAATAGGTGAAACTATCATCCATAACGCGCTCATTCATTGTGTAGTGCCCAGTTTATAACACACTAGCAATATTTCTGTGTAAAAATTTTACAGAAACAAATGCTAGGACTAAGTTTCCAACCCTTGGACCAAGGGTTTTAAATTAATTTTAAAAAAGCTGACTTTGCGTTTGACACTGAATCATTTTCCTAAAACTTTAATCACTAATCTTTCACGACGTAGAATTTACGCATGTAAAATTCCAACTAAACGAAAGCTATTTGTGTTATTTTAAGGCTTAAATGTAGAAATGGATATTTGTTTATCCATAGGCGGCCCAGAACTGATCTCGCTGACCTCGCGCGATGACGTACCTTGTCATAATATAAGACTGTTCAGACAACATGAGGTCGCGCGAGGTCAGCGAGATTAGCGAGATCAGTTCAGGGCCGCCTATGGTTTATCATGTTGTGTTTGTTCGGGGGGGTCCCACGCATCATACGTAGATCAGGGCCCAAATCACCGTTTCACCGCCCTATCATTCATTTTTTAATCTATGGCCCTATCTTATATACGCCCTGATCAATTAAAGGCATGCCAGTCATGCACTTATAGTCTCAAAATCGAATCATTATCGCCCCGTCGTAAAATAGGTGGTTTCTGAGGGCCGAGGCGCCATTCCTTGTTTTAGAAAAGCTAGCACGAGCATTATCATAGACTGTCAGAATTCTATCATTTATACTTTGCAACCTCAAGATAGAAATCTGCTAAACATTGTAAAACTATAAAACTTTATATTTCAGTCAGGCTGCTCAATATGGAGTTTTATAAACTATAACAGTCCATTATTACTAAACCTTGGCTTTAGCCATATTAATTTTGATGGGTGTATACTTCATAATGAAATTTAAATTTCATGCGATTATGTTACGGCGTGCATTTTGGTATATGACTTGTGAACGCTAAACGAAAGCTAAGTGAACCTCGGTAGGAGATTTTACTTGTAGTTAAACTATATCAGATATTGAAGGTATCAGATTTTTTCAAGGCAATGACACCCCAGAAAGCGCAGTTAGGCGCTGGACTATAGTGAGTGGGGGAAAAGTATTTTAAAAATCGCCTTACTGTATTTTTATACAACTAGTGCCAATATGGTTATTAATTCGTTACAACAAACATATAAAACTAGGACTCAAAAGGTCGCTGGTGCACGCAGCATCTCATTTCAGCAGGTAGAGACCAATACCACAGTATATAATACCAAATATATTTACCCTTTATATACCCTTTAATATATAATATTATCTTTATATTAATCACAGTGAGAAACTCAAAAAATTAAAAATCATACCTTTACAGCCACGCGATTCTTAAATTTTCCCACTTCAGCGCGCAGAACATGCGAATATTCTACACTATTTTTGGATGGCCGAATACCGTTGACAAACACGTACGCTTTGTCCTCATTTACTCGAATTGACCATTTGAAAGAAGGCATTTTTTAAAATACTGTTTGTTGACTGCTGAATAAACCTTGCTGAACAAAACTGCTGGTGTCTTTGGCAGAGGAAATAGAGTATATTTTGGCAAGGTTTTCTAGCGTCATACAAGGCCGGATAGCGTCATACAAGGTGATAGCGTCATACAAGGTGATAGCGTCTTCGCGGCTCAACGAATCAGCGTTCGAGAACACAAAGCCGTAGGTAACTGAGGAATTTTTCATTGTTAAAAGGTTCAAAACTCAACCAATCAAAAACGTTTATACTAATTAGCGACAAAAATCATAATAACGGAAAACATTTAAAAACTTAGAAGGGTGTAAGCTGATCTTAGTGAAAACCGGCTGCTTCCTAACTTCGTAACTAAGCTTGTCAGAAATATTTTGAAGAATGCGGTAAAAGACCAAAACGCATAATCCCCGAGCCGGCGCGGAGCGCCGTGCGAGGGTACTAATTCCGCTCGGAGATTAGGAGTTACACCCGGAACCCGGTAGAACATAGCCGAATCCAAAGTTGTCCAAATTCTTTGTCATGGACGGTCGACGTTGGGTGGTTTTGTTAGATATGCGCATGCGCAAAATTTTGAACGAGTAAACACTGGTAACCAGTATCATCCTGATTGGCCAAGACAAAATGTTTATATTTAAAATACAGCGTCAGCAATTTAACTGTCTTTTTAAAAAGCCATTTAAAAACTTTTTACAAAAAAAATCTACTGTGCTTAAGACAAGCAAATTTTTCGTTAAAATCAATGTCCAATTTGGAAACCGAGATGCAGAAGGAAGCAGGTTATCACGAGGAAATGCTGGCAAAAAGAAGGGTTAATCATAAGGCCAAGATGGATAAAGAAACGGCAGAGGAAAAGCAGCATAGGTTAGCAAAGCGAAGAGATGCGTACAAAAAAATGGTCAGGGTAAGTACATGCGATGAAAGAGGAAAGAAAAGAGATAAAAGACGTGAAGAATCTCATCAGCAGACGTCGGAAGAGAAAGGACGTTCTTTGGCAAAGCGAAGGGCTTCTCATAAGCGTAGAATTGAAGCGAGCTCCAGCAAGGTACTCGAGAGACGAAGGGAAAATGCACGACTACTTTTGCAACAAGAAACGTCAGAAGAAAAGGAGAATCGCTTGGCGAAGCGTAGGGCTGCTTATAAACGGAGAAAAGAAGCAAGTACAAGTGAAGAAAGTGAGATGCAAAGGGAAGAAAATAGAGCTAACGCAAGAGAGAGAAGGCGACGTGAAAGTGTCCAAAAGCGAGCAGAAAGGCTTGAAAATGTGAGGAAACGAGCGAAAAGATCCTATGAGACAAGGTCAATACCACAGCAGGTACAGTCAGAAAACGATCAGGTAAGACTGTGTGATGAGAATGGTACAAATGATGATGCTATAAGTAGTTCAGACCAATATTTGCATGAAGGTGGTTGGAAAAATGTTGACAACCTCAGAATGAAATGCACAGTTTTCATTTAGATCAAGAGCATTTAGAGCATCGGCAGTGTACAATTTGTAAAGAGACTTGGCCGACAAAGCAAAACTTGGCAGCAGATCCCTTCGTTTGCTACCGGTGTCAAAGAGACAAGAAATCACCAAAGAATTTCAGTGCTGGCAATGACATGGACCCAGGTACTGTTCCAGAGCAATTGAGAGGTTTGACACAGGTAGAGGAAATGCTGATTTCAAGGGTTTGCCCCATCATGCAAGTCTACAGAAAACATGGTGGGCAAAGGGGCTACAAAGGTCATGTGCTAAACTTACCACAGGATATTCAAAGTTTTTTGAATAGGTTGCCTGCACAAGTGGCTGACTTGCCTGTTATGATTGTGCGAAGGCAGGGTGCTGATGAAACACATAAAGATTTTACAGTTCGTCGACACAGGGTGTTTGAAGCTATATTGTGGTTGAAAACAAACAATCCATTTTTCAAAGATATTGAGATTGACAGGGATATTATCCAAAGTCTACCTGAAAATGGTGTCCCTGAAGAGCTAAGGTATATTATTGATGACAATGAACTTCCAGTTCATGTTGAAAATGAGGGCCCCCCACAAGAACCTGTAATGAGTGCTAATGCAACAGTTGAAGAATTAGTTTTAGGAAATGGCAGTACATCATTTATTCCTATGCGGCAAAGACAAAGAAAGGATGGTGCAGCTATTCAAGATGCAGTGAATGAGGTTGACCCTTTAGACTGGCCCTCAACTGAAGGTAATGCTGTTAATGAGTTTAAAACAGATGGTTTGGCAAGCATGGCATTTCCAACACTATTTCCCCATGGGAAAGGTGACCCAACAAACAGAGTCAGGCAGCATGAGGAAAGTTTGGCAGAGGCATTCAAACACCTGATGAAGTTTGCAGAGAGGCTGCCAAATGGTAAGTTTGAATGGAGGTTTGCCTCACATCCCCGGTTCCCATACTGGGCGTTGAATATGAAGCAGAGACATCAGTTGTTGTCACAAGCTAACATTTACTTGCGGCAACATCCAGCGGATGCAAACATGACTATGGAGGAGCTGAAAACAATGGTAAACTCTATGGGTGCAAATCAAATGGTAAATCGTTTGCAACGTTATGTTTCAAAAATTCAGGGTACAAATCAGTATTGGTATCAGAGACTGCAAGAACTGTTAGCCCTGATTGAACAAAAAGGTTGCCCTACCTTTTTCTTTACCTTTAGTGGCCAGACTTGCAAAGACTATTGCAAAGTAACGAGGGGGCATCAAGAACAGAAAGAGCACAAGCAGTGATAGACAATCCACACCTGACAGATTGGTTTTTCATGCAAAGGCTACAGAAGTTCATCAAACATTGGCTTGAAGGTGTCTTGGATGCTGAATGGTTTTGGTATAGGTTTGAATACCAGGCCAGAGGAAGTATACATGCTCATGGATGTGCTAAATTAAAGAATGATCCAGATATTCGATTATTACGTAAACGTGCATGCCAAGCAGTGCTTGAGAAAGAGAAAGAAAATGAAATGTCCCCTGACGATTTTGAATTCTCTTGCCAGGAAATTGTCAGAGAGGGTGAAGATGCGGAGAGAAAGCTAATTAGGTAAGGTTTGTATGTATATCTTAAGTATTATAAATGATTTACACTCACCACATAAATACGCAAATTGTGTCCACGGTATAAGCTGCATGTGCATTATTAGAAATTCTTTGTATGTGCTGTAGAAAACTTAAAAAACATTTTCCCCAGACTTTTAGTTTTAGCCTACTATGTGCTACAATGTTGCAAATTTTGCTAAATACAGCTTCCACATACATTCACAAAAAAAACAAAATTCCGTATATTTTCTTTAGAAACTGATATTTCCTAATGCTAAGGAATTGAGAGTGTAAACAGCAAAGTATTTACAATTATGGAAAAATATATATAAATTAGGTGTTATAACCATGTTATTTTTATTTCTTTTAAAGTTACGTTGACTGGCTTGTGACCACAGTTAATGATGATCTGCCTGATGAGAACTGGACACTACCAGATCCACACCCTTCTGCTGTGAAAGCAACATCAGTTGATAATCATGATGTTGATTATCACAGGTTAGTAAATTCAGTAGAGAGGCACACCAGATGCAGTCCAGCGTATTGCCTGAAAAAGAAGAGGGTTGACCTGCCTGCAGAGTGCAGATTTGGGTTCCCAAAACCATTACAAGAGGAGACTGCACTGATTTATGAGGTTCGAGGTAAGAAAAATAAATCTGTACACTCAGAGTTGCAAACCAAGAGAAATGATGAGAGGCTGAATTCACACAACAGGGTCATGCTTGAGAATTGGCGGGCCAATGTGGATTTGCAGGTAATTGTAGATGAAAAGGCATGTGCAAGATACATGGCCAAGTATGCAGCGAAAGGGGAACCACGATCAAAATCTGCTTCTGACATACTGAAGTTGTCTGTATCTTCATTACAGAATGATGACCAAGTGTCTTCTGCAATCAAGAAAGCAATGATTCAAGTTGCTGGTGATAGGGACATGGCTGCTCAGGAGACTGCCCATATGTTACTCAGTTTGCCTTTGGTAGGCTGTACGTATAGTTTTGTTACTGTTTCTTTAGAAAACAGTAGAAAAGTGATCCTTGATGCAGAAAATCCACAAGAGGAAGTACTTCAGAATTCTGTTCTTCAAGATTATGGAGAGCGGACAAAAGTGGAGAGTAGGTATAGGGGTTATCTCAGTTGAATTTGATGCAGTATGCATCTCAGTTCACAAGAGTCAGAGGTGAGTTGACAAAACGAGTGAATCCTTATATTGTCAGGACATTTCCAAAGCTTACAGCCAATCCTGGCAGCCCTACCTTTGGAAATACTGCAAGTATCAACTCATTAAGTTTAAACCATGGGAAGATAAGTCATCAAATGCATGGGACAATATGGAGGAAACTGATGATGTTTATTAAACACATATGCTTCATTTCTTCAGACAGATTTTGCTAGAGACAATGTATTTGGGTATTCTATTGAAACAGAGATGGTCCATGCTGCACAGACAGATGAAACATATGGAACTGATGAAAGTAGTGATGAAAGCGATGACGAACAGGATCAACCTAATGAGGAAGAGCAAATTGAGGATTGGATGTTGTTATGTAGACTCAACCAACATTATGAGGATGCAGGAAATCAAATGGCAAATAACGAAGCAGTGGATTGGTTCGAAGCAGCAAGATGTGTGCCTGGGGATTTGTTGAGAGAATCTGCTGGGTGGATTTCTAAACAGAGAAGGATGCAGAGGAGCAAGGTATGCAGTATCAAACAGGTGACCAACAAGTGGTGGTTGACCCAGGGACCTTGAATGACAAACAGCGACTGGCATTTGACATTATCACTGCATCCATGGCTAATGATGAATGTGAACCACTACATATGATTGTAAGTGGTACTGCTGGCACAGGTAAGACATATTTAATTAGTGCCCTAAAGCAAGTATTGCAACACCAATGTATTGTCACAGCAACCACCGGAATTGCTGCATTCAGTATTGGTGGTCAAACTTTGTATTCCGCAGCTCAACTTCCGATTCGGGAATACAGAGAATTACAGGGCGATTCCTTACAGAGATTGCAGCTCAGATTGGAAGGTAAGAGGTTTCTCATTATTGATGAAATGTCAATGATTGGACATCAGATGCTTTCATGGCTTGACAACAGACTACGTGCAGGTACAGGAAAAGAGGATATCCCATTTGGGGATGTCGATTATCCTAATGGGGGATTTCGGCCAGTTACCTCCTGTAGGCGATAAACCAATGTACATTGCAGGTAATGGATCTGTAATCAGTGACCATGGTCACAGTATGTATTTAACATTTGATTATGTAGTCATTTTAGAGCAGGTCATGCGACAGATTGGTGAAGACCCAGAAGTAGTTGCATTCAGGGCGCTATTGATGAGAATGAGAGATGGACAAGTTACCGAGATGGACTGGAGACTATTAATACAGCACTCCAGACCTAACGTTTCAATGGATCGATTTAGTGATGCAATCCGGCTGTACTTTGATAAAAAAAGTGTCGCTGAATATAATTATGAGAAGTTGCTAGAGATTGACAACCCTTGGTCAAAATTCAAGCAAGGCATTCTGGTCGAGGTGCAAGTGCGGCAACATCTGATGAAGCAGGTGGTTTGGAAGCTGTCCTCTTTTTGTCAACCAAAGCAGAAGTGATGCTGACATGTAACCTTTGGGCAGAAGTCGGCTTTGCAATGGCTCTTTTGGAACTGTTGAGCAATTTTGGTTTGCAGAGAATATGGGTCCACCAAATCTACCGATTGCAGTACTGGTTCATTTCCAGCATATTCTGGCCCTGCATTTCTACAAGATGTTCAAAGTGATTACCTGTGCCTCCAAGACTGTTTGAGTGGATGGCGGATGGAAAGTATTTGTCAAGACAACAATTGCCCTTGCGGCTGAGGTATGCAATGACGATACACAAGTCCCAAGGACAGACACTAACCAAGGCTGTTGTTGATTTAGGTAAAGGGGAGAGAGTTGCTGGCTGCACATTTGTGGCAGCATCTAGGGTAAGATCAATTAATGATATTGTGTTTGAACCTATGACATTTGATCGTCTGAAAGTCATTGGTAGGAATAAAAATTTGAAGAAGCGACAAGAAGCGGAACGACGACTTCGTGTGCTTGCAGAAAAGACTCGAGCAGAGGCATAAGCATTGAATATATGCATATAAAGATATGGATTGTATTGTAAGTTGTTATATCCTTTTGTTAATGATACTGGGCACCAATGTGCTTTCGAGGAAATCAATAGTCGCCTGCTACTAGACACAATTTTAGAAGTGAAGTTTGTATGTCTTATTACAACTTTGCCTCTATAATTTTTGTTTTTGAGGATGGCAATTAACTGTACATGTGTCATATTGCCTGTTACTAGACATGATATCAGGTATTATGCTTTTGAGGGTGGCTGTTGACATGTACACTATATCAATCAGGTAAGTTACCTATTTACAATAACAATCAATGAAATGAAAACCACAATACCATCGCGCGGGGATATTTCGTGATTTGCCTGGTAACAATAATAAAGTACACGCAAAATTCACGTATAACATAAATTTCAAAAAGAGCGCGAAAATATCCTGCCGATATCCTGCTGTTTTTGGACTGCGGTAAGTCTTTTTCAAAATAAAAAACTTTATAAAATATTAAACATTTCAAAATTCGCTCGAATAAATTATAATATACTATTCCACAGTCGACAATTTGATTTACCAATTTACGCACAGATATTTTAGGGAGAAACTTCTGTATCCTTTTTATTGCATTTTAAAATTGGCATGTTTTTCCAACGCCGACGCGTATTGTCTTTTGTGTTTAACTTTTCTCAATAAACTAATGAAACTATTGTATTTCTTATATATTTTACAGCTACAAAAGTCATAAATATTATTTAAAAAAATGTAAGTTTGCTATTTTAATACATTTCTTTTCTCAAAAATAACATTTCAGTAGCTATATTGAAGGAATTTTAAGCTTGCCTCGAGTATACAATGTATTTTAACCGTATAGTGCTTTTGAAATAGTATTAAAATATGTTTACTCAATATATTTTTATGTTGATGGCATATAAGATCATCTACAAGGAGAGAAAAAAGTAAGATTCAACCTCTTTTCTACCAGTTTACAAACCACTTTTCTCATGGTTGTAGTGTAATGGTAAACGTTTTTACTATTACTGATTTTTCTATGTATTTTAGTGGAAAATGAAGAAGAAGTACTTGGTATGTTTACAGATAGGCACTTGGCCATATATAAGAAATACATAATTTGTGGTAACCTTTTCTTTTCGCACATGACAAACATGCCATATATATGAAACATAGATTCATTCTCAAAGACATAAATCAATTTAGTGTGGCCTTTATAATACTCTGGCCATATTTACACACATACTGTAGTATAAATTTAGCAAAGTACTAAATATTGATTAAAGATTTTGCCTCTTGCATTTTAGAAATTGAAGTTGATGCAGAGGGTGATGAAGGTAAATAAAAAATATTCAAAGTATTAATCTAATTCATTTGTCGCACTGTTTTCATTTTTTCTCACAACAATAAAGTGTATAATACATTTTATACACAAATTTCCCTTCACCATAGATCTAAGAGAAGCAGAGCAACCTGCCGTGGCAGTGGATGGGCCAGGTGAGCAATCCTGTAGCTCCCCGTGCACAACTAAAATACTCTCATTTTATCACAGTAAATCCTGTGCCACCACAATTATATCAACAATGCACAAGTTTACAATATTATTATTGACTTAGCCATATATAAAGAAATATATATACATAATTTGTGGTATATAACCTCACATTTTTGTTATCCGTTACAGATTTTCCAATGAGCTAAAAGACCACAACCCAGCTCAACCCAATTGCCTTCCTTCTATAATTTTACGTACCCCCCCCCCCCCATTTTGTAAAAATGTTGTCCTTGTGGTGGATGCATGAAAATCACATCTATGTATTTTGTTCATTATTGAAAATCACATCTATGTATTTGTGTATTATTGTTTCATTTCAGAAGATCATCCACTCCCTGCACCACAAGGGAGAGGCTTGCCCCCAGGTATTATTGTATCATTTAATTTTACTGAAATGTAATGTATACCATTTGCTTCCAGATAGCTTCCAATTTTTAAAAACTTTTTGTTATCAATTTAATATCCTAATTTACGCGATGTGTCAACCAAGTTTGTTACGTACATTTCAGAACATCATCGCTCCCTGCTCTTCGGGGGAAAGGCTTGCTCCCAGGTATTAATTTGTATAATTTCATTAGTGTTATTACCTATGTAAACACATAACACTCGATCAATAATGGTTACATTGCAATGATGCTCAAAATGACATCTCCTCTCTTTTAGGTTTCCGTGGACATATTGCAGGTTAATAAAGTTTTATTGACAATGGTCAGTTAATTCACGAATTTAGTTAGCCAGAAGACCAATCATTTCTTGATATTCCACCTTAGGGCGTTGCTACAAGTGTGGCGTGCGGGGCCATCGTGCTCGCGCCTGCCAATCGCGTATGTATTTAATACCTTATGGATTGCCATGTATTGTATAGTCACGTGAACAATTGCAAAGTGGTGTGATGTTGTAAGCATATAACCTTGACTCTAGGGCTAAACATACCAAGCCCGGTGTGACAGAAAGAATTCAGAAGGTCTAATCAAATATTTAAACATTGCTAAAGACGCCGCTGGCCATCACAATGTATGAAAATAATATACACGGCTAAAAACTCATCAGGTTGTTGCATCAACATCGAACAATGTTGTGCTGCCCATATTGTTCAGAGTTGTTATCAACTTGGAACAATATTGTTACACCCGATTCAGTTCCAACAATATTGTTCCAAGTTGATAACAACTCTGAACAATGTGGGCAGCACAACATTGTTCGATGCTGTTCATATCAATGTTGCATCAACCTGATCGTTTTTAGGCGTGTATATAATGACTTTTTTTTTCTTATAGTGACTTTTTTTTCTTATAGGGGCTGTTTGTTGGTTGTGTGGCCAGCGGGGCCACACAAGGGTTGTGTGCCCCCAGCGGCAGACTGGGCGCACAACACAAAAACGAGGGCAGCAAAAGCCCTCAATGCAATTTACAAACTGCACGTTTGAGAAGTTTAGTGCTTAAACTTCTCAAACGTGCAGACTAGGCTACGTTGACATATAATCTCTATACCATCATTGATTTTTAACGTTAAACATCACGCATTCTATACACAAGCAAAATTGACATTACGGGTTAAAAGGCGATTCAATCAAACAATTAATGAGATATCAGCATGTGAAAAATGAGCCAATAATGTTTTCAATCTTAATATCGTTCTCAACAATTCGACTACCCGATGAGAAATCACTGTATGTCAACGTAGCCAAATATTGCGAGTTTGTTATTTTAACTGTTATGTAAATATTAAATTTGTTCTGTTTTAAAATGTTTTATTTTTTATTGTAAATACTTTATTTTGTTAAATATAATATGATTTTCACACTGTTTCGGAAATGATGTTGTTGCATTAAGGTCCGGCGAGAGGTCACTGCATGCAATGTATTTCTAGTTGTATAGTTATGTCGTCGCCTTGCGGGTTTGGATTTTCATCCTCGCCAGAACCGGCGTCGCCGTCCACTATTGAAACTCTTCGAGAGAGAGAAATAGAAGGCAGTTCGCCTATCGGTATTGGATTCAGCAGTAACCATGAGAACACGAGGAGTCCGCAAAGTGGTAAGAGATCACAAATAAGCAATCTGTATACTTGAATATAGTACATGAACTATAGTCTATATCTACACAATTTTTATGATGATATTTAGTGACGAGCTCTCCTGGGGATTGAACGACTCCTGTTCACTCACAGTTATCTAGCCTGTACTCTTCGCCTGTTGGAATTGGATTTAGCAGCAGTGACAACGAAAACACACTAAGTCCGCTAAACGGTATGATATGTTACATTTCTACGTGTCTAAATAGATTGAGATTAGAAATATATATTCACCTGTATTTGGACAAGCGTTTTAATAATTTATTTTGTTCTCCATTTTCTGCTAGTCGCCAACACTCCTCGTATTTTTATGACTTCTCCACTGTCTCCTACTCAACACTCGAAGGAAACTCATCGCCTGCTAGCCCATCACCAGACAACAGCCCTTCTAAATGTAAGAAAATATTTTAAATTTTATTTTTAATTTTAACTATACCTAAAATTTCATAATAGATATAATAACTGTATTTTAGTTGAAATTATAAATAAAGTGCGGCGCAAAAAAGGGCAAGTTACGTCTCTTAGGTTTCAATAAGACTTGACGCAATGATAAGACTTGCCGTTTGTTCTTTTGTGGCGAGTTGAAATATGAAATTTGGAGTATGCGACATCGATTAGCAACTAACCAATTTTCGATAGAC